TTCTCTCTCTAGATATATACCATACACACACACACACACACACACACACACACACACACACACAGAAAAGGCTGGGAATGTAGCTAAGTGTCAAAGCCCTGAGTTCAGTCCCAGTATCATGGAAAAAAATCAATTAAAATAATGATTTATAAAACCACTTTTCCAAATATTAAATTACTTATGTTTGTATTTTTAAGAATAGAATATTTCCTTTATAACTTATGTATATGAAACACAGTTCTTGACTACTTCACATTAAAGAATTTTGTTGACTTTTAATGCTTATTATAAGTGACCCAGAAAGTTTTTCCTCTCATGTAAAAGGTGCAAAAGAGAAAATTAGGTATTTGTATTTTGGACAAATATAACCATATATATGAGGGATTGTCAAAATACATAGTGAATGTTTAAATTTTTTAAAATTCATTACAATAAAAGACATAAATTAATTCCCCTCAGGAAAAACCCTTGATTTGAATATATGTTACCAATCATTCTTACCACTTTCTGACGCATTTCTGGAAGTCTTCTTTCATAAGTATCTTTAGAAGGTAGAATTAAAAAGACTAAAAATATGATGAATGTTGCTAAGTACTATTCATCAGAAAGTAGACCTGCAATAATAACTACAGTGTATCCTCACCTACCCTGTTTAGCAGATCTGGTACCATGCATCTTCTGGCTTTTCCACAGAGTCACCATGAAGGTAAACATTTTGAGTGAATTCAGGACAATGAGGCAGCCGTGACAGCACAACGAAAGAGGACTTTTAGAACTGCTTCAGTGGGTGGCAAGAAAGCAAAGGATTAAGTAGTTTGAGGGGGATTAATGGCAATGTGTCTTTTACTGTAGTACATTTTTAAAATTTTAAATATTCACTATAGTTTTTAATCATACCTCAAACAAGTATTTATACTACTTGTGTACTTTTACATATATGTATATAAATATGCAGTTTTCTGAATTTTCTTATTTCCTCTTCTCTTCTTGATCTTTTCTGTAATTCACTCCAGTGACAATTCAGTGAGCACAAGTACTAGTTCTAGTAAGAGGCAAGTGCCTTACCTCTTCGGTCTTCAGTGTTCATTTCCCATTGTTAGCTAGTGGCATCTTCACATTTGTTTTTTAGTGGACCAGTAATCTAATTAGATTAACAGCCATGGTACCACCAGCTGTTAAGTTTGAAGTATAGAGACTGATGCTGTTCATCAGTTTCAAGCCTGGCCATTTAAAAAGACAAGTATATACATTTAATGTTATTTGAGTGCATAGGAATTTTGTTTTAATTTTTAATACTCATAGAATTGCATAACTCAGTTGTTTTATATTGATCACTGCTTTCAGCAGTTTTATCACATACAGTATTTTGTTTTATTTAATATAATTTATGATTTTTATGGAGCATTTAGGAGAGAAGACAGTTGTGATTTTTAAAATTTTGTAATTGAGATGATGCTATAAAGTATGCCAAATATCATAGAGGAGAAAACAGTATAGCTTTGTTGGTAACATTATTAGTACAGATAGTTAAAGTAGGACCTCAGACATGTTTCATATTATTTAAGCTATTTGTTTTTTTGTTTGTTTTGGTTTGGTTTTGAGGGGGCGTATTTTTTACTGTTTGGACATAGAGCTACCATAGTCCTCTCTAAAATATATTATTAACTCAGTCCATCCCAGGTCATATACTGTGCTCTGGGGATACATGGAGAAAGATGTTCTTTGCCCTTAAATTCCCAGTTTGAGAGAAGGCAGATAAGTACTCCAGAAATTATAGTCCAGTGTGATAAGCACTGTGTAACATACCTGTACCTAATATACACATGGTATGGAACACATATGGGAACTTCTTTACCAGTGTAAGTTTTACTTTGTACTGAGTTGACAAATCTTAAAGATGAATAAAATAACTAGCAAGGTAAAGACAAGGAAAGGGTTACTACATAAAGACAGCAGTATGCAATTGGTACTGGAGATGACAATTTTTACAGGACAAGACAAATATTGACTATCTCATATAGTTCAGCCTGCTGTAAAGGCAGCAAGGATGTGGTAAACTTGAGGCATATTACTGGTGTTTTGGTATGTTAAAAGATAGAGTATTTGGGAAGGAGAGCTAAGAGTTGAGAAGCAATATGGTTGGTTAACAGATAAAAGATTTATTCTTCACTAAAAATAATTAACCCCATTTATATTACAGAAATTAATGAGAGCGTCAAAATCAAAGTGACAGCATGGGGAAACTTGGATAATATGTATTAGATTGTTCATAATGTGATTTCTCATTGATATTGCCATTAATAATGATCTATATCTAGTGGTATTGACACCAAGTGTTCCACTATTGCATAGAAATGAATTTTCTTAATAACAGTTTATCTTTTAAAGCAAGCGCTTTTAAATTTTACCTTTTGTACTTTCATCACTATTCATATTAAATACAATATCCTAAATATAATTTAATCTTTTTAATAATGGTTTAGGAGTATTATAAATTAATTTTTGTTCTTTGTTTTAGGGCAATGTTGCAGTTCATCTTTATTGGGATGTGAGAGACTACTTGATTGACTAAACCAACCTTTAGGTTGCTTAAGTTTTAATTTTTTTTTTAAATGACAGTTGGCCACTTGAGGCCTAATAACCCTAATCTACTAAATTACCTTATATTCTGTTTTCTAGTTAAAAGATGGAAAATGATATGCCTGACCTTTATGTATCCCTTTGTGCTGTGTAGTTTCACTTTGGGATCCATGGGTAAAATCTAAGTGGTTAATGAATGTTAAACCCCAAAGTGTAGAGAAGTTTATAAATCAGGAATTTTTAAAAATTAAATTCGTAGTATTTCTATCTCTTAAGTATTGGCATTGATCTATGAATTTGTGTGTTCCTAATACTTGGGGTGACCCAAAGGAATTGATTGGACTCAATTTGGAACTTGTATATAGAGCTTGCTGGATTAATGCATTCCAAACAAAGGTTTAAGTGTTCATTCTGTTGCAAGCATTAGGGTTAATCACCACTAACCTAGCAGATTTAAATTTAGATGTGTATAGTGAGTTCCACGTCAGTCTCAACTACATAGTGAGACCCTGTCTCAATCATTCAATCAGTCAATCAGTAAAGATGTGTAAAAATTGCCTCAGCCAAAGGCAACTAAACCATTTAAATACTGAATCTGCTTTCATGAGTTCTTGTGCCCAGCAGAGTGCCTTCCAATAAATTCCAGGTATCCATAATTCTTTGGTTAATGTAGTTTCTCACATGTAGCCTTTCTTAGTTTCTAGGAAGCTCATCTATTGAATTTCCAGGATGAATTTTTCATTTTAAAGTAAATGGAGTCAGTGAAAATTCATCCTGACTCCCTTGACATTTCCAGTATTTCACATTACAAATAAGTTCAATAGGTAACCTAAAATACATAAGGAATCTCAAGACTAATGGTAATATAAACATTTTTAAATAGGGTATTGAACTGTGTTATTTAAATTCTTATGCACATTGTAATTTCTATACAAATATTAAAACTGCTATATACTAATTAGACATATCTAAGTAGCATGTTTTCTTTATTCCTTAATATGCTGCCAAAGCTGTCCAGTTTTCATATCTTAATTCTGACTTATTTTAAACAGTAAAAAATACGTTTGGTATAATACTAATAAGGTATATATGTTGGTTCTTCTCCAGAGTGAAGTCACCCTGCTGAGAAATGAAGTGGCACAGCTGAAACAGCTTCTTCTGGCTCATAAAGATTGCCCTGTAACCGCCATGCAGAAGAAATCTGGCTATCATAGTGAGTAATGTTCCATTACATACAGCCTTAGGCTGTGTCAGTGAAATACCACCAGTGAACAGAACTACCATTAAAAAGTGGAGACTGCAATTCTAATATTTAAGATTAAACATCAGAATTTCTGCAAGGTTATTATAGAAAGGGAAGCATATTTTTAAGAATCCAGACAGTTTGTGGGTTTTTTGTATTCCTCGCTTTTTCTAGGCATTACTATAGATCAGCAAAATGGGTTAGCTGATAAATTTAAAATAAACTGTTAAGTACCCATGATATTTTGTTTATATCTTCGGGGGATAACACTCTTAGATTGATAGGTGAAACACTACTTCCTTTCCAACCCCCATTCAGTAAATGAAATTTTTTTTTCTAATCAGCTATCTTCACTAAACAATATATAATATCCATTTACAATACACTGTGAGGTCCTATTATTTATTCTTTCTTAGATAATGTCAGCATTGTGCAGTGTTTTTATTCTTCTGAACTTTCTACCTTGTTGATCATAAAAATGCTAAAAAAGAACAGTACGCTGTGAGTTGCCTCTAAATGTTTTCCCAAGAATGAGATTTCTTCTGTCTTCAGCATTTTAGAGGTTAATTGTACTTTTTCCTTCTGGTAATGTCCTCCTTTTTTTGATAAGATGCACAATGTTGGAACCAGCTGTTACTTTTGAATAAATGGCCTATTTTGTCCATTGCACACAAATTTGTAACAAATAACAGAGTTGGGAATGCGTTAGGCAACATTCATAATATATAACCCACAGCTTTTGTTTTTATGATTTAGTGATTTTTCAGGATATTTGTAAATGTGAAGATTGTTTCGACCATATGTATCCACTTCATTTTAATTTGCCAGTGTCAGTAATTCAAAAAAACAAAACATTTTGTATTGGATGTAAACAGTTCCTCAGGTGCTCACAGTAAAACTTAATGGCTACCATCTTTACCTGTAGTCATTGTAAGCAGTTTCATCAGAATGGGCAATATTTTTTAATTTAAAAGATTCAGTAGATTTAGCAATTCTTGATTGCCATATATATTTAGAACACTGATTTTTATCCATTTTAAACATATAAATCTCAGTTATTTGATATCTAGTCATTTTGACAAGACAGTGAAACACATTGTGGAATAAATTGGGACAATACAGAAATGTGTTTGGGATTTATATTAGCAATGATTGCTGCAGGGATGAGGCCATTATTGTTCCCATATGACTTAATGTATTTCTTAGTAGAAGCTTCTAAGTTCAGAATTATGTGTATATGATTTTCTTAAACAAGAAAGCTCTCAAATTTTGATAGTTTAAAAGGAAATAATTCTATAGATTTGAAGGAAATTAACTCTCAGCTCCAACTACATTAAAATCAAAATTTATTTATAGCTTTTTTCATCTTTGATAATTGTAGAATTTTTAACTTTTATTATCCAGGCACTATTTGCCCAACAAATATAAGACAATTATTCATTTTAACAATTGACTTACCAAGACACTTGTAGTATATAGACTTGTAATTTTACCTACTGTTAAATAAAACGACTGCAGATTTCAATGAATAAGTTTTTAGTGAATACATTTTGTACTCAGTTGTGTGGGTGCAAGAAATAAATAAGACATTTTGGAGTTTTTTTGGAAGTATTTCTGCCTTGTTCTTGTGTAGTTATCTAGGTAATTAAATTGAGGTACAGTAAAGGATAGTGGTATCTTGAGATTAATTCTCTTCAGCTCTTAGGAGATACTTACAATATGTAAACATTTTAATTGCTATTTTCAAATTTTAAATCTTTAAAAAAAATCTGATTTCTGTTGATTAAGAGTTAAGGTAGCCATAGAGATTAAGTGAATATATCTTGGAGAAATTCAGATTTCACACTCTTCATCGTGTAACACACAGCAGTTGTTAACAGTGGTGAACAATAAACTAGATGAATCTTTCCAAACATTTATGGAAGAAAACTGACATTTAGAAGGTAAGGAGTACTACAAAATATTGCAGGTAAAGGTGACAAAGAATACTAAGGTCCCAGTTTTAACACTGAAAATCCTGTGCCACATTTAGGAACCGCCCCCCAGTCATGGGAAAACCGTGACTGTTGGTCACCCTAAATTAATATATAACCTGATTAAAGATAGTAACACCTTTTAATATTTGAATTTCTTGAAGAATAAAGCACTACACTGATATTATTATCATAATTATATTCCTTAGATCTGGGCATAGGTAATTAAAATTGTTATTGTCTCCATAATTATAAGTAGGAAGAAAAGTTTCTTTGATTCTATTTGAGTGTTAATAATTTCATATTGAAGATATATGAACAAGGCAATGAACTTTATAAAAATTCAACAACCACCAGGTGTGGTTGTGCACACCCGTAATCCCAGCACTCCGGAGGCTAAGGCAGGAGGATTGCTGTGATTTAGAGACCAGCCTGGGCTACATAGTTCCAGGTCAGTCTCAACTACATAGTGAGACCCCATCTCAAAAAAACCAAAACAACAAAAACAAAGTTCAATTGCAAATGTCTAATTTCCTTTGGCATAAATAAAGCTGAAAGTGGCTCTTGTAATGTGGTTTGATTTTTTGTATCTTTCTAGTTCTTGTGATTATACCAATAATTTTCTCCCCTCACCTTCTAGAACTGGACATAGATATATCACAATGCAAAGGTATTTTTAATATTAAATTTATAATTACATAATTTATAACTATCTCTTTGTACTGCCTAAAGATTTACTTTGCCTAATTCTGAAGGTTTGTAGATATTATAATTTACTGTTTTATATTGAGTCATTGCCTCTGGTATATATATTTTTTTATACCCTCATCATCCATCTGCAACTTTGATTTTGAAAGCTGATACATCCTCAGAACTTGAAAGGTTGTCTTGTTCAGTTGAAGAGTAATGATGAAAGAAAGAAAGAAAGCAAGCAAGCAAGCAAGCAAGCTAGCTTCTCAGTATTCTCTCCAGTTAAACCGTCAGTGCCAGTTTGAACATGTAACTGTTGTATTGATTACCTAAAGAACTAAATTGTATTTTATAATGTTCATTATTATTTGATCAAAAAGTATTATTTCTGCTCTATATCTATATAATTATACCTTTTTAAAATTGTATCTTGAAGTTAAGTTTGATCCAGGGGTATAGTTTTGCATTTATAATACGTAGAGAAAATGGGATTTCATCTCATTTATATGTTTTGAGACTTGGTTTTTAAAAATATGTGTATTCGAGACAGTCTGTCAAAATACTGTGAGAATATTATTTGAAAAAATTCTCTTACTGAGGATTTTTTAGCGTAAGCTTGCCAACTATTCTTCCTCTCCATCTTCTACATTACAAATCATGGGATTATCATAGGAAATCAGTTTCATAAGGTCCCAATATTTTATACTAATTGACTTTCAGAATGGGCATTGGGTCTACAGTAAGCAGGCTAGTCTGCATTCTCAGTTGCAATAGAAAGCCTGCATCTTGTCATGTTTAAACACTAAATTTTTTTTTTTTAATTTTTTTTTTGCTACCCAGGGATTGAACTCAGGACCTCATGCTTGCCAGGCAGGCACTATGCTGCTGAGCTATATCCCCATCCATGATTAAAATTTTTTTTTTTTTTTTTGTACCGGGGATCAAACTCAGGTCCTTGTGCTTGCAAAGCAGGCCACCAAACGACTGAGCTAAATCCCCGGCCCTAAGATTATTTTTAATGTCAACTGAAAACAGTTATATTCCAGTATGATACTATTTTTACAGTGTTTAAAAATAAACAAAGCTAAACCATGTCCAGGGATGCATTCTAACATGGTAATTCTACAAAGAAAAGATGGGCTAATTGAAGGAATATCAGGATAATGATGACCTCTGGCAAGGAGAGGCGCATCCAGAAGCAGCAGTGTTACTGGCAATGTTCAGTCAGAAATTGGGGCCTGGGTTCACAGATATTCATGTCAACATTATGTCTTCTTACAGATCCTATCTATAAATGTTTGTGTGTATTACACATAACACATTTTTCACTAAATGAAATTATCGGATTTTGTTCTGTAAGAGATTTGTTGTTTGGGGCTAAATATTGGTGTTTTTAATTTTCATAAATATTTAGAATGCCCCTTCCTGAATATCTTCTCAGTTGTAGTATCTAAAATTTTATATGGATTTTTATTTGAATCCCAGTTAATTCATGCAGTTCTAACAGCTGGTGGCATTTAGACTATAAATATTGTTATTGTCATGTGTATGCATCATTAGAATCAGGTGTTGTAATCATCCACGACTGCAGTAGACGGAAAGTCAGCCAGAATAATATAATTCTGGAAAATACAGAGGGAGTAATTTTAAAAATATAATTTGTATGTATGATTCATTCTGGTTCTGCATGTGATTACATTTTTTATATCTTTTAATAAGAATGACATTTAGCCAGACGCTGCTTTTAATAAATGCGATGCTCGTAAACATTTGATTATATCTGTAAGAGGCTATCAAACTTCTACCTCATTTTCCTTAACAGTGTTTACTACATATTTCTTGAGCACTGTTCTATGAAACACGGGGCACTCAGATGTTCCCATATGCATGGTTGTTCCTCTGTTTGACCTGTTGTAGGTAAAAATTGCCTACTTTGTGACTTACAGCTACCTTTTCAGATACTTAATTCGAGTCACACTGGTTTGTCTAATCAGTTTTGTAAAATACCTTCTAACTTTTACTTTGTATATTAATTCAACCTAATATACTTTTTAAAAGATCCTTTATTTAAGAAAATGAACAATTTTTTTTTTCTCTGCTCAGCTGCCGATAAGGATGATAGTTCAGAAGACCTTTCGGTGCCAAGTAGTCCACATACAGAAGCTATACAGCATAGTTCTGTCAGCACATCCAATGGAGTCAGTTCAACCTCAAAGGCAGAAGCTGTGGCCACTTCAGTGCTCACCCAGATGGCAGACCAGAGTACAGAGCCTGCGCTTTCACAGATTGTCATGGCTCCTTCCTCCCAGTCACAGCCCTCAGGAAGTTGATTAAAAACCTGCAGTACAACAGTTTTAGATACTCATTAGGTTTTAGATACTCATTAGTGACTTCAAAGGGAAATCAAGGAAAGACCAGTTTCCATTTATGCTAAATCTGTGGTTGTAATTTTTTTTTGTTACTTGAAATTAAATTTGGCTCTAAAGTTGATGTAGCAGCAATTGATGATCAGACTGAACAGTGGTTTTTTTAAAAGTCTGGAAAAAGACTCATTTTGCTTTTTTTTATAAATATTGTTAGATTTATTAATTTTTCTGTGCTCAGTGTGTATATATTATAATTCATTGTGGCTTATTTCGGTTTTAATTTGGTGGTGTTTTAATAAATGGGGGTGTCAATGAATCTCTTTCCACTTCCATTTTTTGCCCACTCCTTAACCCTCAACTGTAATGGTAGTTTCATCATTTGTACCAAAGTTTTGCATAGGGTCTATTGACTTTGTAATGCAAACAAAGTCATGAAGCAGCACTAGGCAAGAGAAAGATAAATTTGCTTTTAATCTTTTTGCCTTTTATTTTGCACATTATGCAAAAGGAAAAATATTAGAAAACACCTTCATTAGTAAAAAAAAAGGTAAAAGATATACAGTGCTTTTATGTGCATCCTTAAACAAGGTCATTAATACTGCATTTTCTTTTAAGATTTTTAAGTAGACAAAAATTTTTTAAAATTCAACATTTTTAAATTGACTTTATTTTTTAAGTCTTAAATTCAGTATTTCAAACTTATGTTTTGAGGCTGAAAATATGAAATATAATGTATGATACAGGGTTATCAGATATCTAATAATTTTTTAAATTAACTCTTATTTGGAGTTTTTTGTTTTGTTTTTGTTTTTTGCAGATTTCAGGTTACAAACTGAGAAGTTTATGCATAATCAAGTATGGTATGGTTGCCAGAAAAGCCTAAAATTACTACTTAGAAAATTTAAGACTGTTTACCCCCATTGTCTTGTACTTGCGAGCTAACTTGTACTTATTGTGAAAGCACTGTCATCTTTTAGTAGCAAATTTTGATAATGTTTCTTGTGGAAAAAATCAGTATCTATCTTTAGAACAATGTAATTATAATGTGGGAAATGTGAATGAGTGAGTGAGTGTGTGTGTGTGTATGTGTGTGTCTTTCAATAGTTAATGCCAGCAATCTTTGCTTGAATGTTTAACGATGCCTTCAGTGTGATGCTGGCCAATAGATGATTGCAGTTTAAAAATGTCATTATGTGCAGGCTTGGATAACTAACATTCCATGATGTAGCTTGTTTCTGATGAGATGATTGTAGGTACACTTTTCTCATTATCCAGTCACCTGTGGGATACTGAGTTTTCTAATGTGCCATTATCTATTTTTATTCTGCAGTTATGTTCAAAATACAGTACAATATTTTAAATAGACTAAATTGTTGAACAATAAAAATTAAAAAGTAGTAGATGTGCGTAAGAAAACTTTGTAAAATAGTTGAGTCCTACCCAGTAGCAACTTCTGGCATTCAAGCAGGATTCCATTATGTAAATATATGTAATACATTTATAATAAGTTTGTTCTGCATCCATACTACACCATTTGCTAAAGTCTCAGTGCCATCTCCTAATGAGACTGACATTTTAAAAGCCTGTATGGAATATCCTTGATAATTCAGAGGAGTAACCCACCTGCCTAAGTTCCAAACTGGGAAACATACAAATTACACAAATGACATTTCAGGATTTTTAAGTATGAAGATAATAGGAATTTTATTGTTGGCATATTAAAAACAAAACTTCTAAAATTTTTCATTTTTAAATGATTTCATAATTTTAAAACAACTTCTAATCATGATTTTGCCATAATTACACTGAGTTGATCTCAAAGGCACAAAATATGAATTCTACAAGAAGGTTTATTTTTTATTGTAGTTGGGTGAGTTAGGAAAAGCCTCAATTTTTCACTCTCCTAAGTCCTTCACTGCGTTTTTTTTTTTTCTTTCCCTTTATTTATGCAAGTTAAAATTTTGGTAACAGAATTCTTGCAACTGTAAAATAAGACTACATAGATGTAAGAAGTCATGTAAACGGTTTATGAGCTTACCAAGGTTAGCAAAACTTTCATTGTAAATCAGTCTGTACTCAGCAAATAAAAATCATTATTAGTTGTATAAACACAAATTCCATTTTGACTTTCAGGATGTCACACTACTGTACCTAGCATTTTGAGTCCTTATATTTGCAATGTTACACAAACTGTACTATTTCTTTTATGTGCAGTTTGCATGAGTAAACCATCAGAGAATAAATTCTATCTTTAAATTACATTCATAATTTGCTTGTTTTTACCTGTCTTTCACAAAGTAACATCACCTGACAATGATTTTTTTTTCCTTCAGGCATTACCTGAGAAGAACCTAAGATTCTTTCCATTTCTGTGATAAAAATCATTCCCTCTTGATCTTTTAACTGCAGGGTGCTCATGCCTGATTTCTCTAATTTGTACTCACTTTAAACTCCTCATATACAGTGACCATTTAATTTATGACCTCAGTTTGGGACACTCCCAGAATGTTAGCCACAGACCCACTTGCCCACTACCTAACAAAATATCTTAAACACACCATGTCTAACACTGAACTAACTTTCCCTCATCCTAACTCCATATGTGTTCCTCCCACAATCTTTCATTAGTCTGTTGGTGACAACACGGGTCTTCCTATTGCTCAACCCAAAACAACCTTCTTAGCACTCTGGAGTTCTCTGTTTCTCTCTCATCCCACATCCAACCCATCAGGCAATTCTATTCCCTTTACCTTCGAATAACCTAAAAGGAAGCCTCTTCTTGTTTACACTGCCTTCACCCTCCTGTGCGTTAATGTGCCTTAATTATTATAGTTGCCTTGTGTTTCTTTGCTTCTACCTCTGCCCACCACAGCCCATCCCCAGTATAGCAGTCAGAGTGGTGCTTTTTTTCTGGAGGGAGGAGGGTTGAGACAGAGTCTGACTTTGTAGTTCAGGCTATCCCTGAACTCACTATGTTGCCCAGGCTGGCCTCAAATTCACAGGGATCCTCCTAGTCAGCTTTCCTGAGTGCTGGCATTACAGGGATGCACCACCACACCCAGCTCAGAGTGATGCTTTTAAACCTAAATCAGATTATAATATTCCTCTGCTTGGCAATCCACATTTCACTCAGTAAGAAGTCAAGTCCTTAGATTGGCCTACCAAGCCCGTCTGTCTGTTCCCTTATCACACCCCTTTACATTTTTGGCCTCTCTTCTTTTATTTGGCAACTGTTTGAGTGCCACTACTCAGGCACTGCTTTAGGCACTTAAAATACCACATTTTCCAAAACCAAAACTCCCTGTCTTTGTAGAGCTTACATACAGGATGTGGGATGATGTTGGGAAACAAAGTCAACAAGTTGTATAATAGAAGAGGTGACTGCTAACTGAAGAAACAGATTTGTATCAGTTTTCTGGAAAATGATGTTTTAGTCATATCTGTCAGGTTGAACCATTGAGATGCAAAGAATTGCATACCTATTTTTGATACAGCCATTCTATTTAAGTTAGATTATATGATATTAGATAAAAGGTTTCTTGAAGAGGGCTGGGGATTTGGCTCAGTGGTGCTGCCACCTGCCACACAAGCACAAGGTCCTGAGTTCAAACACCAGTGCAAAAAAAAAAAGTTTCTTGAAGACAAGATGATACAGAAACATCTCGTTTCACTGTACTTTACAGATAATGCTTTTTTTTTTTTTTTTTTTTTTTTTTTTTT